GACGACACTGTATGAAACAAAACAGGGAGAAAATAATAGCCCTTGCTGCGTTTCTTGCCGTTTCTTCTCAGTACTAAGTCTCCCGCCGTAGATTTACGAACCGATGGCGCGTAGCGTTTGACTTTCACAAGAGCTTGTGAGTTTAAGTTTGAGGTATTGTGAATGTATCCATTAAATCAAATCAGCCAGTTTACAAAGAAGAATGGCCATTTTCCTATGGGAGTTGGGCTATTTTTTTTTCATTGCGTCTTATTGGAATAAGTGTTAAACAATAGGGAATAATAGGGGCACGATCAATCTTAAAAAAATAGATAAAAATATTGGCGTAGAATCAAAACCATTGGATTGCATGTCTTATTTTAAAGCAAACCCACCTTAAACGGCAGCAAATATAATTCAATTTATAGAAAAATGCGGTTAACCATCAACGCATTAAAGTAATTTCAAGATAAAAATGATGGAATTTAAACCTAATTACGAACAGCGCAATGTCACTAATCGAATGAATGAATTAATGGTAAATGATACAGCCTCGAAATTATAGGAAGAGATTGAAGCGCCGATAAACGGAATGAAGCTTTAAATCAACGTGTCGAGAGATGAAATTCGTGCAGTGATGGTATCAGCTGGGCATTGTAAGCGTGCACTTGCAGGGGATTACCACGATCTCGCGAATTAAACTAAATTCCTTTACAAACTCAGGAAATATTATCATTTTGAACATAAATTTAAACTTGTTAATAAATCTATACTGTGTAACATCATTGACTAAATTCAAAATTTTCTTTGAAATATTATATTCATACTAATAGTTAATGCGAAAATGTGTCTGTCCCTCTGTTATCACTTCACGCTTCAATCGCTTAACTGATTTGAGCGAAATTTGGTATAGAAATGGTTTGTCCCGGGAAAGGACATAATAGTTTATATGACATTTCACGGGTTAAAACTGGGATCCTTTAAAACAGAAGCAACATGCAGGCCGGCAAAGTAAGGATAGCTGGTGTGGCAAGTACTACTACAAGACTTCGCCGTCACTTAACATCAGGTGGGGCGGAGTTATTTGTCGGACCTATCGAAGATAGGACATAAAAAAAACGCGTACTATAGTTAATGTTCTCCTACCTTATTTATCCCGACATTTTGGACCACGACCGGTGTTAACAGCAACGCACGGGTCGCCGACCACCGCCGACTACGACCGGTGTATCTGATAAGCAACACAATTTTTTCATTCGAGTTGAAATGAATTGTCGATAATGAATCGTGTTCCAGTAGTAGCGGCGCGCCCGTCGAATCGGCTGCCAGCTCGGTTATTACGTTGATTGCGTGGTAGCAAATGATACCTGCTCGCTCCTACAGGCATTCCTCGACAGTCGCCACTGCCTTTGTTGGTTTCACCTCTCTTAGTGACAGTCTCTTTGAAAACATTGTTGTCATCTAATGTACAGTCAGTAATCGTACTCATAACTATTAAATTTCATCATTCATCACTTCTTAAATAGAAAATAAATAAATATTTCCAACACACACACCAATTAGCCTAGCCCCAAAGTAGCGATCGATCTCAGTGGCGTGCAATTGGAGAGGCTTATGTCCAGCAGTAGACTAAGATAGGCTGTTGATGATGGTTTATGATTGATGATATTTCGTCAGATGAATTCAGATGAATTCTTTTTCTTTAAGTCTAAGTTTATTGTTGACCTTTATTGTTTATTTTTCAATAGATCTACACAATATTATAGTTTACGTAAATAAAATTCATTTGGTAATCAACGAAAACAAGAAGACCAAACCAAGAAATACAATTTCTGTTAATATTAAATTATTAAGAAAGTATAGTTCTAATATACTTTGATTATAAATAATCAAGGAACACACCTTTTTTTTCTGAAAAGGCAACTTGTATTACTACGAATAAATCTCTTTGATTGACCTGGTTATTATGATTACTGCAAATTATTGTATTAACGTGTTGTTTCTACAGTTATTTACGTGTAGCATCATCAATCATAAGATCATTATCATCTTAGTCGTGTGTTGTCGTGTCTTATCGCGCTTCATCTTAAGTCTAAAGAAAATATCTTTAAACAGCTTATTCCCTGTTAAATACAGTAATTTACAACGACCTTTGTTTACAGCGCATTACACAGATCAATTTTAACAATAATCTTACAAATAGTCTCCAATATTAGAAAGTAACACAGTTGATATACTATGTTACCTTCTTAATGTAAGCTGTCGACTTCATACCTGTAAGCAAAATACTTCACGGTGAATGGAACTTTTACAACATGTTAGTAAACTAAAGATTACATAAAGTCTTGTTATCATCTTAGGCTTATCTGAAAGCTTGTATCACTTGTTTATCCACATGATAGTGATTCAGGGTCTGTTCTAGTCGTTGCTGAAACCAGAAATATAACAACTGTAGCAAAAATCATGGTCATAACGTTAGTAAAGATGTCTGTCTCATGAAACAGTGTGCAATGATTTCTAGGAAGCTTAATATTTAATGTTGTTGGTGCAGCATACGCGCTATTACCTAGGCGTTGCGTTGTTGCATTCCTTAACAGTTAGATACAAGCTAGGTGGAATAAGAAATTAGTTTATTTCTTTCTTATGTTTTCACGCAAATTTCAACCCAAGTTTAAGCGTGTTTCATTTAATAAAATTATTTTCTTTTAAACAAGACAACTTCTTTCATGCTATTCAATATAAAAAAGAGCAAGATATTATGATCCTTTCAAATCTTACACTAACATCGAGATGGTATGGTATGTGGTATTAAATTTAAAGAAAACTTGTTAGCGATGCGTGTGTTATGTTTGGACTGATTTAGGCTATTTGTTATAGTTATAGAATAATTCAATACTATGTGAGACTTGTAATCATAGGAATCATAAGGCTCTAGATTGTAAACGACACAATCAATAAAGAGACAATTATTTCAGTTGAAATTAAAGCCAGACTCAATGACCACATGATTTGCCATTGGCATCCATCCTACTATCGAAAGTTCGTTAATAACAAAATTCCAATTCTGATAGATCTGAATCACCAGCAGATCAGGTTTCAATATCATATGGAAATAATTCGCTGTTGGAATTGGATAAGAATCTGATTTCGGTATAATAATGTTCGGTTTTGTGTTTTTAGATGACAAAGTCAAAATTATCTTTATTCAAATTAGATTATTGAACGGCTCTTTTGAATCCTTACAAAAGTCCATAATTTACATAGTTCTGCAATAAATGTGATCTTTTTAGATAGATGCTATTTGTTATAAATATCCCATATTTTTTACTTTTAATATGCTGTCAGTTGTATTTATAGACTGTTTTCATAATACTAATTATCACTTTGCAGGTAGGAGTACATTAAAGTTTTATTTTATTTTTACCTATTTTAACTTGTACATGCTATTAACCTCGTAGTCACCACTACTGGAGCTGCAGCAAATACGTGCGAGATTATCAAATGCTTGCTTGAAAGTGAAACGGCCACATTAAAATTATTCACTTTTTAGATCATAAATATACCATGTAGTGGTTCAATATGAGTAAATACTTATCTTAAAAAACTGAGCTCGCAATAAGATCTAACAAAAACTAAATCGCTTTATCAATGTCAGAATATTTAGAATACCAACCGTGCCATAAGAACACAAACCATTAGCACTCCATTGTACACGATCGCGATTCTCAACTTTCGCTGCACTTAATTAAAATTGATATTCTCTTATCACGAGAACTATCATTCTTAGATTAAACGCAGGAGCATTAGAAAGTCCGCGCATAGAAGACTAGCGTTGACATATGACTTCCTCTGCATCTGGAGTTATCAGCAGACCAATTAATATAAACCAGATTGGTTCGAGTTTACTCTTCAAAGTTAGTTCGATAAGTGTCACTATGGTGTTAGTGACACACATTTCATTTATAATGATCTTGCTTTTAATCAGGACACTGGATGTCATGTAGATACAGTTTAACGGTTTTGTGAATTCTGAAAAGTTATCGATTTTTATGATTATTTCAATTTTATGACTAAAAAATTTTCTCCTGTATTAAATGTTTGTGGGCGAAAGCAGTATTAACAGTATTACTACCAGTACTTTTGTTATAGATACGTGTATAAGGTATTGTATGTATGAAATTGTGGCTTCTTAACAAGGTATTGACTGAACCAATTACTTAATAATTACAAATGTAAATGTGAAAAACTATGGAACTCTTGTTTTTCTTACCACATAAAGACGTTGTGATCAAGTATTGCTACTGTTATATTAATAGATACCTAAATCCATATAGAATTATCAAATCCCAAGGTCAAAGCTGAATTAATTCTGTTATGTAAATCCAAAACGATAATGATCATAATTTTAAATTTCAATAGAATTTGAATGTTCCTGCATTGTTCAGAATAGACTGTAAAAGTGTAGACACTTTCTTCATTAATAATTTAGATCTTTAATCCAATTTAGATGCTTTATATGTTTATGAAGGATGATTAATGACATAATTGAGAATCAGTAGCAGCGAAATAGCCTATCATAAACGTTAATTTTATGTGTCCAAAAGCTTCATTTAAAAGTCATAGTAGACACTGTACATCAGTTTTATGAGTAAATTCTATAATAGCATCTTGATTACTCTAAAGATAGCGTAAAATGTAAAAAGACTGCTCATCAAAAACACCATAACTTCACTGTATCGATTAATACCCGTGCATTCAATCTGATTCTAATTAAAGCTCGCAAAATTTATGACGGTACGTGCCAATAACGTGACATATTTGCCGTACAACCCGTTTTAATTAATGGCATACAGAAAACAGCAAGTAAAATTTGAATAGCTCTAGTAAAGGGATGGTTTTGTGTATAACTAACTATCCTTGTCTCACACTGAGGTAATAGAATAGTGCCTTCCCGCTTTCGGAGCCACTACGCTCATCGCGGTTCGCCGCCTCCGTGTCAGTCAGTTGCGCATAAGCAGCCGCGGGAAGCGTGTGTGTTCAAATCTCAAATATATTTCGCGCGATTTTGTTTTTCAAAAGTTTTCAATGCTGTGTTCTGTTTTCATATCGTGTCGGCATTCGTGTCGCGAAATGGTTTAACGAGATGTGCCACACATTGTGTTAAAAGTGTTCGCACGCGCATCGCATGAGCCAAAGTGATGTGCACTTTTTGTTTTGTGTAGAAAGTGATTTCATCACAAGGGATTACAGTGATTGATATTGTTGGAATACACACGTGAGAATCTCTACATTAAATCGATCGGTAAATGATGATTATTTTAGCTGTGAGCTCTCGCAGCGATGAGATTGCAATACGATTAGCATATTGTTTAGCATTTTAATTCGTGTCGAACCTTCCGTCATACAGGTGTACCGCAAGGTGCGGCTGTAATTTGGGGCCCACATTATATTATCAAGAACGTTCGCTTCCATTGCTGTTTTGTAATTGCTCATATCCTTAGTTTATCATCAATTAAGCTCAGTTAAAGTGGTCTAGAATTTAAGGCTTCAGTAGCAAATTTAATTGCAAACGTCTTACCGTTTGGTCATTAAACTATTTTTATGTCTAATAAGGTACAAGCAAAGATCGAGTAAGCGAAGTTATGACTTATAGCAAGGTCAAGTCTTAATGACTTTCAATAAATTCTCGATCCAAAAACCGCCTTGGGACGAAGTATTTATTACGATTTCCGTTTACTGATATATATACATATTACTAATAAACAAACAATGAGTAGACTTAATAGAAAAAACGCTTACGGGTATTTAAAGTGATACCTAGGTACATACCAGACTGGAAGCTTGTAGATATCTAATAATAATAATCATAATCATAATCATAATCAAAATCATTTATTCAGTTTAGGCTGTTACAAGCACATATGAATGTCTAGAAGCTACGCCATCGGTTCGTAAATCTACGGCAGGAGACCTTGTACTGAGAAGAACCGGCAAGAAACTCAGCAAGGGCTGTTTTTCTCTCCCTGTTTTATCATTTAGAGAGTCGTGAAGTTGAAAAATGGCTTCAGAGATAATAATAATAATAATATTTATTTCACAAGCCAGTTTTACAAGAATCATACAACACTCAGCATATCCTCTGTGCCTGTACTAGGTTATAAAAATACCTGTATCACAGACACAGAGATGATTCATGAAGTCACCTTTCATTACATAATGTGAAATTATACATTAATTGTTTACCTGCATTTTGATTGCTGTGTCACACAGTATAAATACAAATAGAGTTATTTATAATAGGTCTAATTAAACATTTACATCTTAAATATCAAAGTAGTTAGGGCAGACTCATCTCCGCTGGCAGCACCCGTTCAAGTTCTAAATAAAGCAATCAAAAGAACATAATAAAATGTTCAAATCAGTTACAAATTATTAAATATATTAATACCCATCTCGTACCAGAACTAAAATATCATGGTCTACGCTCTACATTTCCGTTATTAATATCTGCATCAAAGCTTTTATGTTAAAGCGTCGTTAAATTTAATTACACTTGCAACTTACAATACTGTTTTAATATCCATCCTTATAAACTCTTTTATTTAAACTTATGGCCTCCGTTTTATTGCAGCATATCCAAAGTTCGATTGGGATTGAGTAAAAAGATAACTATTTATTCATTATATTGTAGGGCATAAAGTTTTAAGAATTTTTATGACTAATTTGTTGGGTGTATTCAGTTAGATTTTATAGTTATGTGAAAATTAATAAATAATTTTCGCTTAAATAAAATAAATAAATAAATATTTTCAACACTCACACCAATTAGCCTAGCCCCAAAGTAAGCACTGTAAGGCTTGTGTTATGGGATGCTGGGGTAACGGATAGAATACATGTACTGTACATATATAAGTATACTAGCGGACCCGACAGACGTTGTCCTGTCTACACGTCTTTAATTTGAAAATTTGACACTGCGATGGTGGCGCTGTCTGTCGGATCCAATGTAAAACATTCCAAAATCAACAACTACTAATAAATTAAAAATTAATTAAAAAAACATTGTCCAGCGGACAAAATTGTGAATCTAAACCATTCTCAGATCCCCTTGAACACACACAAAAAATTTCATCAAAATCGGTCCAGTCGTTTAAGAGAAGTTCAGTGACATACACACTCACAGAAGAATTATATATATAAAGATTTATATAGAAATACATATGAAACATGACCATGATCATGACCGGAGTACTAATGCTCGTATTCATCACACAAACATCTACCCCCACCGGGATTCGAACTCGGGACTTCTCGAGTCAGCGACTCCATGAAACCTGGCGTACAAACCAGTCGGCCACGGAGGTCGTCAAATTTTTCGGCTTTGTATTCTAAGTTAGTGGCAGGCGATGACAATAGATGTGTTTGGTCACAGTATCTAAAATTTCATCATTATCCTCGCAAGTAGTTCAAAATAAAACAATAGTATTAAAAGAAGTAAGTCATGCTGCAGCAGATATTAGTTTAGAATTGAATCTCTTAACTAAACTAAACTCCTAACTCGCCATACGTTTTCTCCGTCCAGTCCAGTCCAGTCCAGTTTCAAAGTGTATTCAGTTTCAATCAATCGTAATCTGTCTTAGTTCGGCCTCTTTGCTACCGCGACGTGACGGCGACGTAGCATAGTCGTGGCGTGGCCGTGGCGTAGCCGCGTTATCTACGACATCATAGCGATCTGTCTTGGCTTGCCCCAGCTGACAGACCGAGAAATAACATCTTATCTGGAACAAATATCGATTAAAACATTTGCACTAATACTTTCTACAGTAACAGTATCTTATAACTAGGGATATTCGATATATCGAATGTATACATCGATGCATCGAAAACATCGATGTTTGCAATGAAAAACATCGAATCGATCCGATGTTTTGAAAAGCTTTCAATATATTCGATGCATCGATGTTTAAAAAAACATTGAATTGGTAATACAGTTTGACCACGTAGTGATAATATCCTCTTGTTGGTTTAACCTCAGTAAAAAAAAACTTAAGTTTGACCACTAAAATTTTACTTACTGTTATGAAAGCATTCCGAATTCTCTGATATGGCTCCGATGTTGGCAGCACTGCGCAAGAGTCAGTGCAGTGACAATAAAAAATAACTACGAGTTTCTATGTTTAAAAACATTTAATAACCTTTGGTTTTGTGAAACAAACTAAGATAGAAGTATATTTCTAATATTCTATTGACAGACAGCAAAAATTTTTAAAATTTAAGAAAAAGTACTCGATGTTTGAAATACATTGATGTTTTCATCCGATACATCGATTGACATCGATTGACATCGATGTATAGTTGCGATGTATCGAATCAAAAAATACATCAATGTTTTTTCAGAGTGGACACCCCTTATAACTATGAAGGACATGGCTAAGAAATTGCCCTTAACGTGTATAATTATTTCACACTAGCCCGTAACATTATAATATTTACTTATTAATTATTACGTGTTTATTATTCTCATACAACTTTCGTGAAATAATCAATTATTTAAAAGTGTAAAACTTGACTTCATGTTTGTTTCAAATGGAATATGTTCCGTTTTATAAAAGTATATAGTTCACAATAAATATTTGCGTAAGTATATCGAAATAAACAATATTAATTTCAAAATCCTAATCGCTGTGATATATTTGGCCCTATTTTTTTATTATTACAAGTCACTGAAGGCCTAAAATAATATATTTTATTATTCTGATCAGGCTTGAGACATGGCTGCATGATAATTAATCCTTTGATTTTCGCAAATCAACAAAATAAAACCACAGATTTTCTGTCAGGCCGACGATGACAAATTATTTGTGATTATTTTTGCATTAAAAATACTTTTTGTGAAGTATTGAACAGAGAAATGGGAGGAAAGATTCTAAGAAAATGCAAAATCGATGGCTCTATAAATAATTGACATCTTTTATCAAATGTAGCAAAGTAATGACGTGGGTAATGACGTAGTAGGAGTTACCATAATTTGTGACTTTATCAAAAGTTCCTTAGTCTTTTTTCATATAATTTATAAATATTCAGCCATTTAGCAATAAATATTACTAAGTACAATATATAATAATGCTAGGGCAGTCGCTCATACAAAACTTTACCATGTCCTTTAATTTGGATGCTTTTGTTAGGGCTTCCGTAACCAGGGGCCCGACAGGCGCATCCGCTCGCGGGCCATGGCCACAGGTGTACCCCAGGGTTCAGTGCTGGGTCCACTGCTCTGGAACCTGGGGTACAACTGGGTGCTGCGAGGCAGCCTCCTCCCAGGAATGGAGGTTGTCTGCTTCGCTGACGACACTCTTGTCGCGGCGAAGGCAAAGGAGATGGAGGATGCTTGGCCGGGAGGCTGCTAGGTGCGGAGACGCGGAGAATCCCTAAACGGGGATCCTGCGGCTTCGCGCTAAGCAGCTTAGAGGGTATTCGCAGGACTTTTTAAGCGGATATTATACCGTAAAGCGCCCGTAAGAGTTGCGGGGTCCTCGGTGGGCAGCCACTGGGGGGTCCGTAAGACTTGCGGGAGCCAGGTGTGAGGTCCGTTCGGCGGTGTGCCTCTTAAAGGCGCCGTCGTCTGTAAATAGATTTTTTACCTGCGTATTAGGGCTTCCGTAACCAACGGATAACAAAACACTATTGTATAGATACGCTGTCTGTCCGTCTGTTTATCTGTTCGTCATAGACTCTATCTCTTGAACAAGAATATGTAGGAAACTGATTTTTTTACAGAATGCGTGTTACTGCGGCCGCTTAATATTATCACAGATGATAAAATTTAAAAATAAGGTTTAAAAGAGTCTCCTTGACATGAAAGGCATCGTGACCTAATGTTATTTGTACTTAGATGGACCCATGCGAGAGGAGCTCAATGGCGCGGGTGGTTAGCGCGTTCGGCTGCGATCGTTGAAGTTAAGCAACTTTCACAGTGGTCGGTCATTGGACGGGTGACCAAAAATCTTCTATCTCGAGTTCCTCCGTGCTTCGGAAGGCACGTTAAGCCGTTGGTCCCGGCTGCATCTGCAGTCGTTAGCACCCGCCAATCCGCACCGGGCCCGCGTGGTGGGTCATGGCCCAAAACTTAATTTATTTATTATAAAACCTATTCAATTCGTAGGGAAGGCCTGTGCCCCAGTAGTGGGGACATTAATAGGATAATGATGAATCAAATCTGTACCCCTAGCACGAACCAAAATCGAATTCGTAACGTTTGCGAGTCCGAAATGTCATTGTCAAATATGTACTGATTTTTAGTTC